GTGTAAGGTCAGGCCTGGCAGGTGTACTGCCTGAAAGGAGTAGAGGTGAAGGAATATAGCATGCGGTTGCAGGTAGAGTTCCAAGACATCCGAGGACCCTCCCAGCACCAGTTTGCCTTGTTTGCAAGGGAGACATTCTCTTTCCTGACTCTCAGAGCTGGGCGTTTCATGCATCAACTACAAATGAAGTGGGCAGTTGGGTCCAGCCATCAGGAACCCCTTGGGACACAGACCGGAGGTTTAGGATGAGGAGCCCAAAGCTGTTGCTTAACTTGGGTGGAAGAGAACTGGCCCCAGAGAATGGAGAGATGAAAGGGGTGACAAAGACAAGCTGGCATCTTCCCCCAGAAGCCTGTGATGGAAGAAGAGATTGTATCCAGCAGCCCTCCCCCGTAGCCTTCACCTCCTGCTCTCTCCCTGACCTTGTGGCTCACATCAAAGTGGCGACCTCTTCCCCTAGCTTTGCAGCCTGAACTGGTCCAGGTCATCACTGTGTGTGCTATGGAGCTGCTGATGGACAAATGGTAATAGCTCCCAGAGTGCTGAAAGGGGACGTGGACTTCAGGTCAGGGCTGGCCCTTGCCAGACTCTGCTAGGGAAGACTGCTGCCCTGTCTGCCCCTTTTCTGCACCCACCCTCACAGCTCCCCAGAATAAGGAGGGTTCACAAGTATCTCTGATACTGGGGTTCAGAAACCACAGATGCAGGGAGGGAGAGGTGATGAGGCTTGAGGACCTCTAAATGTCAGACAGGCCGTGGAAGCCACCAGGGATCCTGCAGAGAGAAGGGTGGGGCCTGCCCTGAAGGAGTTTCTCACCCAAGAGCAAAGGAGGAGACTAGGAGGGCCTGGGGCACTCACTTTATGCATCTAAAATGCATCCTTGCTGTGCAAGGTGGTGCATACCTGTCATCCCAGAGGCTCTTGAGGCTGAGGCAAGAGGATAGAGTTCAAAGCCATACTTAGCAATTTAGCAAGGCCCTAAGTAACTTAGCGAGACCGTCTCTCTAAATAAAATATAAAAAAGGGCTAGGGATGTGACTCAGTGGTTAAGCACTCCTGGGATTGATCCCCAGTACCTAAATAAATAAATAAAAGTGCATCTTTACACTTGGGTGGTTACAGTGTGTCAATGTAGGTTCACAGAATTGTAATAAATGTGCCATTCTCTTGGGGGATGTGGAGAGTGGGGGAGGCTGTGTTTGGCGGCAGGGAGTGTATAGGAAATGTCTGTACTTTCCACTCAGTTTTCCTGTGAATAATAAATTGTTCTCAAAAATCAAGTTTATTAATTAAAATAAAATAAAATAAAATCCATTCTTGGAGAAGAAGCTTCCAAATTTGTCATCCTTCTTTTCCCTCCATTGTTTAGTAAATAATAATTTATTTACCCATTTTTAGTTAATCAAAGTCATACATAGAGGGCTGGGGGTGTAGCTCAGTAATAAGTGCTTGCCTTGCACGTGTGAGGCACCAGGTTCAATTCTCAGCACCACATAAAAATAAATACTTAAAAAAATATTGTGTCCATTTACAACCAAAAAAAAAAAAAAAAGTTATACATTGAGCCCAAACTATATCAGCTAACAACTAGGGAAACTGGAAGTTTTAGCTCAGCCATGTACCCTTGTGGTGGGAAAAGCATATTCTTATTATGCTTTTTGATAGTTGAGAATAACTTGATTATAATCTTCACATTTTTATATAATAAACCTGTAATGCTTTTATAACTGTATATGAATCAAATTCTATTTCAAATTTACTCAAGGAACCCAAAACATGGTCTCCTCCTACTACTTCAGCCTGGCACAAGAGAATGGAAAAACCCAGGTTTAAGCTAGCTAAAAGAAGTTAGAGGACAGAGATTTGCTAGTTTTACTGGGAAGTAGAGGAAAAAGAAGACCTGTCCTCACCTTTTGAAGTAGGCAAGAAGGGATAAAATCTGGGGGATTGTGCCATCTTGTGGTAAAACTAGAAAATGCATTTCATTTTATTCACAATACTATCATAAAACGAAATTGTACCCTGTGACATTGTTGTCTATATTTAACTCATTGTGATCTTCAAAAATAGCAATTGACCAAAATAATCCCATGGAGAAACAACAGTCTTTAAACAAATAGTTCTGGGAGGACTGGCTATTCAGTCAGACACTTCTCTTACACCATATAGAGAAATTAACTCAAAATGGAATAAGATCTAAATGAAAGAGCTAAAACTAGAAACTATTAGAAGGAAATATATATTTTACCAAATTATATTGTTATATCATGTGTGTATGAATTTACAACAAGTCCAACTATTATGTATAATTAAAATGCACCTATAAAAATACAGAAAAAAGAAAATATAGGAGTAAATCTCTATGACTTTGGATTGGTCAATGCTTCCTTAGACATGGTACCAAAAACACAAACAGCAAAAGAATACATTGGACTACATTGAAATTAAAAATTTCATAGTGCAAATGACATCATCAGAAAAATGAAAACAAAAGGAAGAAAACTTTTGTAAATTATATACCTATATGACTTGCATCCTGAATATATAAAAAACTCTTACAACTTCATAAAAGATTAATAACCCAATTTAAAATGCACAAAGAATTTAAATGACCAAATTATGTTTGAATATGTCACAATGAAACCCATTATTATGTGTAATTATAAAACACCAATAAAAATCTTTAGTTAAAATGAAAGGATTTAAAGAGACAGTTCTTCAAATAAATTATATTAATGACCAATAAACATGTAAAAAGATGTCAAATCCTATTAGCCATCAGTGAAATACAAATCAAAACCAGAATGAGAAACCACTTCCATCCACTAGGATGGCTATAATCAGGAAGACAGTTAATAACAGATATTGGCAAGAAACTGGAAGCTTTGCACTCGATTCCTGGGAATGTAAAATGGCACAACCACTTTGGAAAACACTACGGCTCTTCTACGAAGTGTCAAAGAGCTGTCACGTGTCAGCAATTCATGATTCATAACAGCCCCAAAGTGGAAACATCAATTGACAAATGTATAAACAAAATGTAATATGTATTTTATATATACATATTTCACAATAAAAAGAAATAAAACACTCTTATATGTTACAACATGGATGAACCTTGAAAGCATTATGTTACGTGAAAGAGCCAGTCCCAGAAGACTATATGTTGTAAGTTCCTATTTATACAATATATACAAAATTGGCAAAGTTATAGTTCTGGCAGTGCAGACCACCTAGGTTGGGTAGAGTGTATGTGAGGTATGGGTCCATTGTGCATTTAAGATATGTTTGGTTACAAGTCGTGAAAATATCTGAGAAAGGATTTCGGTCTGCTCTGTAATCACACCTGATTAAATCAAATTCCCACTGCTAACAGTGGTAGCAAAATAAGGTGTAAGGGAAAAGATTAACAGGAATGTCTCAGGTACTCTTGCCTAAAATGATCCTAAGGCCCCAATGATGGGGACATCTATGCAGACAGCCACCAAGACTGGTCATTCACTGGGGATGGCAAGGTGAAAGGAGATGACTAAGGAAATTGGGGATGGAGAAGGAAAAAAATTTGATTTAGTATTAAGTCATGATATGTCAGTAAAGAAAACGATGTTTCATTCTTTTGGTTTTAGCTCTCCCTGAAATGTCTGTGTGTGCCTCTGGGAAGTGCTTGTTGTACTCTGAGGCTGGGGAGTGGCTCACCTAATGCCCCCTCTAGAAGCAGCACCTCTCTTTCTGGGCAGTGTGTGTTTGTCCAGGCTGTACCTGGCTAGCCTAAACTCAAAAAGCACCATTCTACATTTAAGGACTGGATCTCTCCCACCTTGGGCTCCTCACTCACTTCGATTCCACTAACTCTGCTGTCCAGTCTCTTTAAAGGCCTCCAGATAGGTGCCCAACAAAACCCACAGCTCAGGTAGTCCACCTCTTCCCCAGGCAATACAGTGGCCCTGTTCTGCCCTGTGTTCAACCCATAGTATGCTGGATACTACATGGGCCTGGCGGTAGTTCCCTAGGTACCTGAGATTTCTCTATACACCACTAGATCAGGGGCCCTCTTCATCTGTCTCCCTAATCAAAGTCAGTTATCACTATTTCTTAAGTGTCATATTATTATCCCTTTGTTAAGAAGCATGGTTTATTGGAGACAGGAACAATAGCCAAACCACAGTCTGTTAGCTGAATGCAGCTCATGTTTCTCTTTGTCCTATTGTTACTAAACCCAAGTCTGTTTACTTGTTACTTTAAAAGGGGCCCAATGAATTGAGGACAAGTTGTGGGACCAAGGAAAAATATTTATTCAGAATGCCAGCAAAATGAGAAGATGACAGGCTACAGCCAAAGAAGGCAAAGCTAGGGGGAGACTAATGGCATATTGCTCAGCAGCACGACCTCCAGAATGAATGACTTTTAAAGTCACCTAAAACCCAAGTGATGCTGAAGGGTTTATTTAGACTTTCCCTCAGTTATACAGAGTGAAGATCTTCTATTTTTAAATAGTTTGGAAAAATCAAAATAATAACAGATGGTGTTATATTATTGTGCACTCCTGCCCAAAATTTTTAAAAGCACTAATCCCACAACTATATTTAGAAATAGGACTTTTAAGGAGATAGTCAAATGAGGCCATAAAGATGGGACTTGACCCAATCTGGCTGATGTTCATATAAGGAAGAGACATCAGGGATGCACATGTACAGAAAAAAACCTGTGTGAACACACAGCAAGTTGACAGTCATCTGTAAGCCAAGAGGCCTCAAGAGAAACCAGACCTGCCCAGCCCTGACATTGTACTTCCAGCCTCCAGAAATGTGAGAAAATGTCTGCTGTTTAAGCCATCCATCTGTGGTATTTTGCTATGGCTGCCTGAGCTAATACACTTAGTGACACATGAAAATTATATGAACTTCATATTTGAGTCCATTAATAAAATTTTATTAGAACATAGCCTTGCTCACTCATTTACATATTATCTCTGGCTGGTTTTTTGCTACATGGCAGAGTTGAGTAGTTTTGACAGGAACTGTGTGACCTGCCAAGTCTGAAATATTTGCCATTTGATCCTTCACAGAGCATATCTCCAAGCAGCTTGAGTATAAGGTCCTTGCTTGGGATTTGGATGGCCACCTTAAGTGACAGCCGCCATGTTAAGGAAAAAATTTCGCTTTCCCGCCCAAAGGCCTTTCTGAGAAAGGCTCACCACTCCCTCAGACCAACCCAACCCTTAACACATTAGGACCCGCCCAGCTCTGGTTCCTGAGCCTCCCTGATAAAAGTCCCAGAACCCAAGCCTATTTTGCCTCTCTCTGACAAATACACTCACATGTGTATCTCTGTCTGACCTCCTTCTTTCGTTTCTCGCTTACCAGTCTCTCATTCCTTGCTTTCCCTTCATTGAGCACTTGCTTTGAATGCCTAAGTATCGTGCTCTGATCCTTACTTGGCTGAACTATCTACATAGTGGGTCTTGCTTGGTACAGTGGCTCTTTTTGATCACTGCAAATAACTTAAGAAGGGTGGTTTCATAGGGTAGTGTTGCCTGGGAAGCTGGAGTTACACAGCCAAGGAGCTTGGAACATGACTAAAAATGAACTTCACTTATTTTGAAATATTGACATAGCAGTGTTGGGCACCACTGGGTCATTTCACCTTAACCCAGCAGGTTCCAATCCCAAAAGGGTGGGTCCCATCTCTGTTGCCAGATGAACCTGGCTTGATAAGCAGACCCTACACCTTACCCTCCCTGTACATCAAGAGCAGCATCCCCATATCAGATCACCCCTGGCAGATCTGAGTCTAGATCTGACCTCAGACATATCTGCCACACTTCTTAACATAGGTCCCCTTCTTTGGGGACACTGGACAGTGGTGAATGCTTCAATGGCAACTAATTACAAGCAGACTACATTAGCTAATATCTGATGCTTCTTCTGGTATGCTTAAGTGTTCTATTAATTTTACACAATATCTTTACTTTTAGGTGGTGTGAGGATCGAACCCAATATCTCACGCATGCACAGGAGAGTGCTCTACCTCTGAGCCACAATCCTAGCCTAAGTGTTCTATTAATTTTAAAAGGACAATTCATATTTATAAATAAGTTATTTCAAATATAAACCTTAAAAAAATCATGCTTCCTCTGGTTAACCAAACAGCATACCAAAGTATGTTTATTTTAAACTGAAATCATATGGTCTGTTCTCCCACCCTTACTCCCAAAGTTGCAAATCCCCTACTAGGTTATTCTAATCCATGACTCAACAGGTAGGGTGGGAGACAGCCCTCAGTGTAGGGATAAAGACGCTTCTCTATTTTCCAATGCAGAGACCCATATACCAGGGCAGCTTAGGAACTCTCAAAATACCAACTGTCTCTCTCTTGGTAGCTCCCTGCCCAGAAACCAACATGAAACAGCAATGAAAAGCTAAAAATATCACAAAGAATGGCACTGTAGCATTCATGGTGACACTGAGTAAGATTAAGGACACTGACAGCTGGTTCTGTCCACCTCTGTGGCTTGTGCTAGACTAGGGAGCAACATCCCTGCTCCACACTTGTCAATCACAGGTGATTACATTTAATGAAAAGACCTCTGGAGATATGTGAATGCTCCCATTTACTTTCAAGCTAGTAAATATTCAGTTTGCCAAATTATAGACCATACATCCCTACTGAAAGGAAACACAACTGGAAGAATGATAGAAATCCTATATCACTTTCCAAGTGTGTCCTGATTAGCATCTTTTCTATATTTTCCAATTTTTATTCTCATCATCTGCTAATATAGTTCTCCATTCTTGTAGGCATTTCTGATCATCTCACTATGCCAAAGTAAATTATTAATAGTTCTTAAGTGTCACATTCTTGTCCTTTTGGAGAATCCCTCTTGAGAATCAGTTTACCAAACAGACAAAATATTTAGGCCTTATAGAAAGTCAACCTCGTCTGTGCTCTTAAATTCAATATGCATAGTAATAGTAGTGTAGAAATGGGGAAGGACATTTAGAAAGCTGTATTAACAATACAGAAATTCCCGATTCAAGGGGGATACATTCCAAGACCCCCAGTGGACACCTGAAACCATGGATATTACCACTCTCTATATATTTTCCCTACACGGAAACCTGGGATCAAATTTAACTTAGGTACACTAAGAGACTGGTAAAAATGCTACTTGAACACCAATACTAATACTGAGAAAGGTGATCTGATAACTAAGAGCTATAAAGTGACTAAATAATGGGTAACATGTATAGCATGGAAACACTAGACAATGGGATGATTCACATCCCAAATGGGATAGAGGGACAGTGCAAGATTTCATCATGCTACTCAAAATGGTGTGAAATTTAAAACTTCAGAATTATTTCTGATCTTTTCCATCTAATATTTTCAGACTGTGGTTGACCACAGGTGACTGAAACCGTGGAGCAAGAAACCATGAATAGAAGGAGTACCTTATATACAGAGGGATCATACAAAAGCTATTCTGGGGCTTTTCTCTCCAATGTGCTGTCACTCCAACTTTCTTCAGCTCAGCCCAAAGTAGTGTGCAACGTATCTGCGTATTAGACAACTGGGTATAAGAAGAAAAAAGAGAGCCAGAGGGATCAACTGAGCAGGGAGGCCAAGGAAACTTGTACACTACTGGTGTTGGGCATGGCCATCTCCTTCCTGAGAACTAAGAACAGGAGGCTTGTTTTCAAAACAAAGAATTTTTTTAAATGGCAGCTCCCTTCTAACCACACTCTTTTGAATTAACCAAAGCCATCCCCTTTCTAGCCTAGAAAGGACATATGGCAGCTGAAATGCCAGCTACTGAACTAAAACTTTCAAGATGGCTTCTCTCCCCCAACTTTTACACTTACTATTCATTAAACACAGATTGCAAACTAGCAACCTGTAGACCAAATTCATTCTGCAAATATGCTTGGCTAAGTGTCTTTTTAAAATTTTGATTTAGCTGGCAATTGGCTAGGAGTTCACATAGCTTCTAGATTGCCTTATTCTCTGAAAAAAATTTTTTAAAAATATGCCTCCACAGGGTAACAACCACTTGGAGCTAACAACTATTAAAACAGTGTGTGAAGCCTGGCACAGGGGTCCACACCTATAATCCCAGCAGCTCAAGAGGTTGAAGCAAGAGGATCATGAGTTCAAAGCCAGCCTCAGCAATTTAGCGAGACCCTGTCTCTAAAATACGAAAAGGGCTGGGGGTGTGGCTTAGTGCTTAAACGCCGCTGGTTTCAATCCATAGTATCAAAAAACGAAACTCCTAGGTTTGTCCCCACCACTGCCTTACATCCTGGCAGCTTCACTCATTTGTTAGCTGCCTGCCATTTACACCTGCTTTCTTATCAAAAGCCCTACCCCATCCAGACCCTGAACACTCCCTTCCTAGATTCCATAAGCACTAGTACAGTGAGGACTCCATTGATAGCCAGAAAGAATTCTGGATTCCGTAAATCTGTTTAACTATTATGTTCTTTACAATGACAAGAATCTCCCTGATAGCTCAAGATGTTGGATAAAAATAATTCCTGACCACAGATTTTGTCCTTTAGTTCTCCTTTTTTCCATTACTGTACCAATTGCCCTGGTCCTGGGCTCTCTTGCATCTTGGCAAGGAGACCCTGTGGTGGGGAGATTTCCAGCAGGCTTTTTCATAGAATGCTCAGACTCTCAGTGAATAGATTTTATTCTCCATTAAAAGCCCTGACACAGCTGAGTTTCTTCAATTTATGCCACCAGGCTCTTCTGGAGTCTGTTCCAAGTGAGAAGTTACAACAGTCCACGAAACAAAGCAGAGTCAGGGGCCAAAGAGTCTTCACTGTACTCTCAGATGCCTGGCTTCATTGTCCCCAATTTAATCTTGATTTGGAATCTCTAAACCCAGACGACGCAGAGAACGTGCAAAGAAGTGAGGAAGCCTACAGACCAAATGGAGTTCCTCCTTCCTGGACCCCAGGGCAGGTAGCATCAACTGCCGGGCATGCAGATGAAGGGGGATGTGGCGGGCCTTTGACTGTTCCAGCCCCAACTTCTTCAGAATGCCAACAGGAAGCTTCTACACAAAGACAAGACAGATCCTTGTGAGCAAGACTACCCTTGTCCACCCTTGACCAGCATGCAGAGTCAGAGGACTCCCACCTAAAACTAACTAACCCCCTGGAAATCCCAGTAATGGATAGTCTGCTTTAGTGGCATGTCTAGGAAGGGCTCAGAAACAGGTAAGAAAAAAACAGACCAAAGAAATTTTGTGGGCTCATACTCTGGCCCTGCAAGAGAATAAACTACAACATAAACAATGAAAAAAGTTACTCCATATTTCTTTAGCATGAAAGGTAGCTTTTAGTTTCAGGAAGATTTCTTCCTCTTGCCCACAACATCACAACAAAATCTGATGCTGATCAAATAAAGGAGTAAGGTTTTGCTCATAGATTCTGAAGCTCCATGAGAATGAGATCTGTTTCTAAATTCTGTAGGGTTAGATAATCAATATAGTGCCAAGCTTGGAAACAATACTTGCCATGACTTACTTCAGGATATTTTTTTTTTTTGAGAGAGAGAGAGAGAATTTTTTTTTTTTTAATATTTATTTTTTAGTTTTCGGCGGACACATCTTTGTTTGTATGTGGTGCTGAGGATTGAACCCGGCCCACACGCATGCCAGGTGAGCAAGCTACCACTTGAGCCACATCCCCAGCCCCACTTCAGGATTTTAACAAAAAGAAAACTCAAGTGCTCTCCCTTATTTGTTTAGTACTCCCTATGTTACCTGAGGGGCCAATCTATTCCAGTCTGAGTACTTGTGATCACCAAGGACTGGGCAATCCAATCCAAAAGACAGGTGAACTCGAAGTTGATGTTTCACTCCTTGAGAAAGAGAAGGACTTATGAGAAACTACAGAAACAATGTCAGTGCTGGAATCTGTTTCAAATCATATTAAATCAAAGCACAGTAAACTGGCAAAGACCTAACTACAATAAGTTATGAGGAATACTGTAACAAGCTATAAGCTATGCAGCATCAACCAGCTTAAGAAATGAACATTATAATCACTTTAGATAATCACCCCATGAAGGTGGCATCCACCATTACCCTGACTTTTTAATAATGTTACTACATAATAATAAATAGTATTCTTCTGCACATTTTAAAACTGCAGTAAAATATATGCAAAATTTCCCATTTTAACCACTTTTAAGTATGTAATTTATAATATTAGGTATATTCACATTGTTTTACAGCATCAGCATCCATTTCTCAAAGCATTTCACCAGCATCCATTTCTCAAAGATTTTCATCTTTCCAAACTGAAATTCTGAACCCATTACACAATGATTCCCCATCACTTCCTTCTTTCTCTCAACCCCGACCCCAAGCTTTTGGCAACCATCACTCTACTTTAGTAGTTTCTGTGAATCTTACTACTCTTGGTACGTCATATAAATGGAATCATACAGCATTTGTGCTTTTGTATCTAGCTTATTTTACTTAGTATAATGTCTTCATGATTTACCCAGGTTGTAGTATATATCAGAATTTTCTTTAACTCCCTTTTTTTGTACTGAGCATTGAATCCAATGGTACTTTATCACTAAGCTACATCCTCACTCCTTTTTATTTTGGGTCAGAGTCTCACTAAATTGCCAAGGCTGGCCTCAAACTTGTATTACTCCTGTTTCTCAGCCTCCTGAATACATAGGATTGAAGGCCTGCATGACCATACCCAACTGTATTTTCAAATAAAGGTATCCAAAATGTAGCCTTCTGCTACCCACAATGATCCCTCTGGGGACACTTGTCTCAGAGCAGCACCAAAAGCCCATGGTCATATAAATAAGCTACCCCTTATCCTACCCACAGTATCAGTGTCTCATAATAAGGGCAGAGTCAAGCACAAGGCCCTGGACAAAGTACAGTAGCCATCTTGCATCAGAATGGGGGCACCCTCACCAGTTACAGGCTGGAGCTCCATGAGGGCAGAGGACAGAGTGCTGCTGAGCACCTGGTACTGAGTCATGGCAATGTGGGCATTCCGGTTGGTCCGTACTTTGACCATCTTACCACCGTTCATGCGGTAGCTTGGGGACAGCGTCATCTAAAGATAAAGTAATCAAGATATGATTTCCAAGGAAGAACAGAAACCCGTACCTCAGAAAGGCAGCTCACCCACCTTGTGGTGTTGCTGCTGGCCTTGCACCTCCTTCTCAATGATGGGAATATCCACGACTCCTGCCGAGGGCACGGGGACATGCACAGTGATGGCCCTAAGGGAGACACACAGATGGTTGCTTTAGTCACATAAGGCAGAGAAGAGCTCTTGGATTTGCCTGAATAGAGGATTTCACTCCAGACCTTCTGCACTAACATGGGTACTTCTTATGAACTTTTATGCCTGTCTGTGTTGAGACGAGAGGGAGACCACCAATAAAAGAGATTCAGAACGGGTGACTGTTGTGGCTGAAGTTCCTGTGACTTTCTGGGGGCACAGTAAAATTCTGATTTACCTATGTGACAAATACAGTAGGAGTGGTCCTCTGAGTTTGTCATTAGATGCATTTATTCATTTAGTCTACGATCAGAACCCACTATCTTTTATTACTTAAAGAAAAACAGGGCCAGGTGTGGTGGTGCATGCCTATAATCACAGTGGCTTGGGAGACTGAGAAAGTAAGGTCACAGGTTCAATGGCAACCTCAGCAACAGCAAGGTGCTAAGCAACTCAAGTGAGACCCTGTCTCTAAATAAAATACAAAATAGGGCTGAGAATGTGGCTCAGTGATTGAGTGCCCCCAAGTTCAATCCCTAGTACCCAAAAGAAAAAAACAAAAAAAGGACATACCAGAACCCTATTCTCCCAATTTTCTTTTTTTTAAATTTTTTATTTGTATATGGAAACAATACCTTTATTGTGTTTATTATTATGTGGTGCTGAGAATTGAACCCGGTACCTCACACATACTACACAAGTGTTCTACTACTGAGCCATAACCCCAGCACCCCAATTTTCTTTTAACCAAATATCCACTCTTAAATGCTGGAATAAAAGACCACGTAATTAATATAATTTTTTACCCTTCCCCAACATTCTATAATTAGTATTCATGACATTAATAGTAAAAGACTTAAAAATATAAGTAGTATCCAGTTTTCAGATTAAGCATTATACCAAAGAAAATCATGTGGGACTCTCCAAGAATGATCTCTTATTATAATGGTTCTTAAATTTGATTGTATATTCTAGACATTTATAGAGCTTTTTAGAACTTTTTTTTTCTTGCAATACTAGAGATAAAAGCCAGGGTCTCACATATGCTAGGCAAGGGTTCTACCACTGTGCTACATCCCCACCTCCTGTTTGTGAGCTTTTTTTAAAAAAAATAAAGACACCAATCTCCATAGCCACCAGATTTATGAATCAGAACCTCTGTGGGTGGGTCTTAAGCACGCAGATTTTTAAAGGGCTCCCCAGATCATAAACTATCTGCAAAATCTGTAAAAAAAAAAAAAAAAAAAATGGACTAACATGCACAATATAAACATTTGTAAAGCAAACAGATAATAATAACCCAATATGAAAATAGGCAAAGGAGAAGTAAACAGTCTATTATTCCAAGAAAGAAAGGGAAACTCAACCAACCAATAAATACAAAAAGACAGCAAATATCACTAGTACATAGGGAAATAAAAAAGATCTTTTTTTTAACCCAACAGAGTGGCAAGCTTTTTAAAAACGTTTTGGTTAGTATAAGAGGAAGTAGGTAAGACCACCACTCATGGGAGTATAAAGTGACTTTTGGAGAGCACTTTGGGGACTATTAAAATATCAAATATGCACACCCTTCAACCTAGCAACTGTTTCCAGGAATTTATTCTAAAAATATTGCCATGGCCCCTCCCTCCATGCCTGCAAGTTAGGCGGAACTCTGACCACCGGCACATCAGGCCCAGGGGCCTGCTGAGGGGCAGGCCCGCCCCCTCCCCCGTGCCTGCAAGGTAGGCGG